ATTTCTACATCTCTGATATATAAGGCTCTTCTGTCTTTAGTTAAAAAATTTAGTTCTACCTATTGTTTGCACATGTTTAGAGCATGCCTTCGTTTGTTTAACGATTCCTCGATCTTACCGAAACTCTCTTTCTCTCTATCTCTCTATCTCTCTACATCTCTCTACATCTCTCTACATCTCTCTCACTCACTCACTCACTCTCTTTCTCTCTCTCTCTCTCCCGATGAATCATTCGCCCGAAAACCACGAACGATCCCTCGAATCCGATTCGAAACAAAACTCCTCACTATCCCGAGATAACGTCGAGCTACTGCCGAGTCTGCGAGCTGTCAGGGTCCCGAGCGAACCACGATCATCGTTTCCCACGAACCTCCCTCCTATGAATGGCACGCCGATGCACGAAGAAGTTTTGCTTTTCGTTTCGAATCTATCCTCACCGTTTCCCATCTGGTGCCGAATCGATCCTTGGTTCGATACCTGGTCCAAGCCTGCATGGTACGAGTTTTTCACCCCCTCTCTCTCTTTATCTTACTCTCTTTTACTCGCTCACTCTCGCCCACCCCCCCTCGAACTCCAAGTGATTAATCTCTCCCGACGAGAAGAATAAGCTAACGGAAAGACTGGGGACTGGGTGGGACAGAATACGACAACGACAACGACAACGATGCTGCTGCACACGGTATTATTAATCGTATCGGGAATGAGAAAAGTAATCGTGGCGCGTCTGGCTGATTCGCGGATCTGGTAGTAGAAGTGCAGCGCGACAGGGAGAAGAAACGTGTAGGATCGCATAGACAGGGAAACGGCGGCAGCTCTTTTGTCTTGAACAATAATCGAAGACCTTGGTTGGACGCGAAATCGGAATCATTTGTTGCGAGAAGCATTGTGAAAGCGTCATTGTCGCGGAAAAAGTCGTGGTACGAACGCGTCTCTAACGACGTTCCCTCGAACCTTTTGCACTCGGCACACCACGGAATGCCCAGGATCCTCTTTCGTTTCACCAACGCCCACTTCCTCCCACGCATTGTCCCGTTTACGGACCGACCGATCCAGCCCAGTCGTCCACCCTCTAAGAGCAGACTCGGCAAAAAGCGAGGCGGAACGATAAAAAGCACTGCTGAAAGCACCCTGCCGTGTAAGCTCGCACATTGTCAAGCACAAAAGTTCATCGCCGTATATACGTATATACTCGTTCGTTATTGTTATTGTCGCCGCTACTACCGCCACTATACTATCATTATATTATTCTAATCGTATTACCGACATACATACATATACATATATCGTGGGTGTATGTACGATACGTACACGCACGTATACATGTGTACGTTCTATTAACCATTTTGATGAATGTGTGCACGGGTACCGGGTAAAGATATTATTTTTCATGCGGGCACACCGTTTTTATCTCGCACCCACCACGCACGCATGTACAGTCGCGCACACGCGTGTGTCACGCACGGGATGACAAAGGGCTAGCTATGGCGGAGGCGGAGGCGGAGGCGCTGGCGAAATCGTGTAAGAGGTGAACGCGTATTTACGCACATACGCCAGACACGCGGATGCACGCCTTCGCAGTGTCCCACTATGTAACAGTAGTCAGAGAGAGTATGCACCATGCACCACCACTATCACTATCACTGTCACCACCACCATTAACTACCATCAGTTGAAAGAGCACCCTTTGCTTCGCGAGTATACAACAGCCTAAAAGCACAAGCGTGTGGTGCACGCATGATGCACGTAGCAGAGAGGACGTGTGCGTGGGTGTGAGTGTGGCGCGCGTATATCTATGTACGCGAGGATCTTATTATTCGAAGAAGATGCCTTTGGCTCGTGCGTGAACACGCGCGCGAGCGACTATATGCGCACCCTATACACACACCACGTAACATATATGTATATGTTACTCGCTCGAACGCCATTTATCTAAATATAAGAGCACCAACCGTATTTCGCAGCGCACCGTACTTGTCTATATTCACGTGTCTCTAAATATCAATTATTGTGACACTCGATGCCGAGACGTGTCGTACCGAGCACCAGCACTGAAAGCACCCCTTGAAAAGCAAGCCAGCACACCCCCACTGTCGAATGTTGTTGCGTGCAGTCTGATGATCCTCGCACTTTCTCCACGCGATCGCGATTCAATCTCGAGATCTCCGCTTTCTTCATTTTATCAGCCTAGAGGCGTCCACAACTAATAAGAGGATATCCGCTTCGAGATCGCGTCGGGTCGGTGCGTGCGCGCGTGAGTGTGTACGTGTGAATGCGTGAAAGTGTACGGGATGCGAGAGCAAAGCGACGACGGGCCAGGAGTCGCGGGAATCGGTGAGCAACACTCGCAAGATACAAAAATGCTCGGATACCGAACGCGAATTTAATCGGGCGGCCGGCGTGACCGCGTGGGAAGGGAGTTGCCGCGTTTTACCACTTTGAAACATTTGAATACCAATATCCATGCAATCTTTTTCATTACTCTTCGTCCGCTTTAGTCGACGACGATAGCCACGGCGATAGCCACGACGATAGCCACGACGATAGCCACGACCAGCTCGTGGCGCTAAAAACAAACAAAGATGTATCGATCTCGACGGAGAGAAGGAACTACTCTGGTCGAGGGGAAAGAGGCGAAAAGATCGGTAAGCCATTCTCGAATTCTCTCTCTGCTCGAGACGAACATCGATGGATCGTTAATACGGGACTTGGTGGAATTTCTTACACTCGCCGAGCTCGTTGGAATGATATATCATCACACAAGACCTTCTCTACTCTACTCTACTCTACTCTACTTTACTCTACTCTACTCTACTCTATACGTGTACCTTCGCTCTTTGCATGCAACTCTCACCGACCTATTTTTCCATCTTCTGCCTCTCTGTAAGTTAACCATCGTATTTTTAATATTGAATTACACATTTTATATTCGATATGTATAATACGTTCCATATATATATATATACATATATATTGCATCTAGAAAGAGTACATTTCACTCTGTATGTGTATGTCTTTTACGTTTGTACTTGAATCTGTAACGAACGACTCGCGGTTCCAGTCGTGTCTCCTTCTTCTTTTTCCTCCACTGGTAGCTGTAAAGCGTGTAAGAGTATCAAGGAGTTGGACGATTAACGAACGCACACCCTTCGTTTCTTTCTCCGACAAACAACCGAACGATCGTCCCTCGCCTCGACTCCCCGACAAAAGCATGCTTTTCCCTTCTGCCGCTGCTTCCCTTTGATTCGATCCGTCTAGATATGCGCACCGATAAAACCAACAACTGAGAAACCGATCGCGAATCCGATTAGTTCGCTTACCGTGCTGCATGCACTCCCGATTCGACGAGCGACCTACGATAAAAAGGACGCGCTTCGTTTCACAGCCCCGTATCTACGTGCGTATTTTGCGAAGAATTTTGCGATTTTTGCGTGGGTGAATGCACGGGTGGATGCTGCTAGTAAAACAAAGGGGGACGGAAATATTTTTGACCGTACTCCGACAAAACAGGAACAGAGAAGAAGAAAAGGAAAAAACCGCCGCCGCCTGGCGGCCGTCCGCCCTCGGAAAATCTTTCCTCGAGAAATAATACAAATTTTTTATCGAGCTAACGTTTTTTGCGGGTGACTTTTTGGAGTTGCGAAAACAAAGCAATTTTTCCCCGAAAACATTACTCCACCTTACCGACACGCATCCTTATCTATTCTATATTCGTGCATTTTTTCCGTCCGCATACGAGACGCGTCGCGTTCTTTTTTCCTCACGACTTTTAGATGCACACAGATGCGAAACAAGATCCTCTCGGCTTACGAGTCCCCCCATTCCCTCGATCACACATACAACACTCTCTCCATCGTCCCTTTCTTCTTACTTCTTATGGTTTTTCCTTCCTAGCTTTTCTTTTCAGTAGACATTTTATCATAGGTCTTCCCTCTCGATGCCTCGTGCCGCGAGGGAAAGGATGCCTCTTCTATTCTCTTCTTTTCTCTTTTTCTTCTCTCGAGATCATCCTCTCCTTTGGTCGCTGTTTGTCGCGTTTAATCGAGTCGCGTTTACTCGCTCGCGGAAAAAAACTCTTTCTCTCGGCGGCAGGGGGCAGGTGGACATGAGCCTTTAGTTATTTCATATTTGGAGTAGTGATTGAGCATGCCAAACGATTAAAAAAAAAGAAAAAAGAAAAAAGGATAAAAGTGAAAGAAAAACAGATATTCTCACATCTCCCGCCTCTCTGCGACCAACTGCAACCGAGGACCAAGCGATATCTATTTAACGATTTT